GTACACGGTGCCACAAGTATCCTTTACTTAGGCAGCTCACCAATTTTTCATCCTACACTGGTTGGGTCCTGTCTGAGTTTAATGGGAAGGGGGTTCTATAAGGAAAGGGCTGTAACAGAATAAGCAGGTTTCTAAGAACTCACAATGTGCCAATATTTTAAGGAATGGACCTGAAGCATGCCTTTTATATCTGTTCTGGTGGGACAAGCAGAAAACCTTAGGGTGAGGAAGTCCCACAGACACACTGTCCCATGTAGGCCTTTAAAAGTGAATTTAATTGCATTTGGAAAGAAACTGGGAGCCTGTGAAGCTCACACAACAGTGGTGCAATCTGGTTGAACATAGAGGAACTCAACAATGTGCATTCCATTGCATTCTGGATCATTTGTATATTCCAGGAGGTCTTCAAGAACAACCCCATATAGAGCACACCCCAATAATTCCAAAAGGATGTGACAAAGGCATGAGCAAGGCCCCTTTGGTGCAGGAAAGGGCATAGTTTTTACACCCACCCACCTTCCTGAGTGGAGATGGTCCCCTCCGGACAAGGAATACAGTCATAGCAGCAGATTGGTTCTCCTTCTCGAACCCGCTTGAAAAATCCAGGACGACAATTGTCCACACATTTGGACTGAGGCAGGGACTAAGCAGAAAAAAAGAAAAGGGCCAAAGAAATGTGTTAGAACTAACTGTATATGGAAAATGGAGGTAGACATACCATTGGCCAAGAAATCTCTGTGTCAAGCCACAATTGGCTTGCCATACCTGGGGGGGAGGGGGAAATTGGAGACTGTGGCAGCAGTTCAGTGCGCACAAAAACATTATTTCCCAATATGGCCAAAAGAAGCACCATTCTTTTTTAATTAACTTTGGCATTGGTCAACGGGACTGTTTTCTTTTTTTTAAAGCTAATTTTGGGCAAGGAACAAGCAAAGTTGATGCTATCAGGCCTACAATCTTCAGCACTTCTTGGCTCATCACACCAGATTTTGTGGAGATACTAAAGTGCAGAGGGTACACAAAAGGTCCATGATCTGGATTCTAAGCAATAGTCACCCAGAATCCATGTTAAATATGACTGAATCAGCTTAAATAGCAATAGGACTTAGACTTATATACCGCTTCATAGTGTTTTTACAGCCCTCTCTAAACAGTTTACAGAATCAGCACATTGCCCCCAACAATCTGGGACCCCATTTTACCCACCTCGGAAGGATGGAGGAATGAGTCAACCTTGAGCCAGTGAGATTTGAACTGCCCAACTGCAGCTAGCAGTCAGCTGAAGTAGCCTGCAGTACTGCACTCTAACCACTGCGCCACCTCGGCTCTTAAAACAGTGTTCCATGTTATAGCATCTGAAGGACACCTTAACAGTGTAATAGAACAACAGAGTTTTAAGGGATCTTGGAGGTCTTCAAGTCCAACCACCTGCTCACCCTGGTCAATAATATAGAGATTAGGCTTAGATCAGTGGTGGGTTCCAGATGCCATCACAACCAGTATGCTGCAATGGGGCTGGGCATCCACCAGATGCTTGCATGCTGCAGATGCATGTGCTCCCACCACCCGCAATGCTCCAGCTGCTTGGCAGAGTGTCATGTAGGCACCATATGCTGCATGCACAAATGGTCCGGTTGGGTCAAATACAGGTAAGGAACATGGGCAGGTGGGTGGGCCCTCTGAAGCACCATACTGGAACAGTGCCTGCTGCTGCCAGCAGGAACTTCTACGCCCATATCAGGGCATACCAACCGGAACCCACCACTGACTTAGACCAGTTGAAATGGATCCTAAGGCTTTGGGAAAAGGAAAAAAACACCAATATTTTCCTCACCATATTGAGCAACTTTATTTGTGAGAGTGCATCTTGGTTAATCGTAAGACTCTGCCTTGCAAAACTCCCCAAGTGTTCTTTGATAAGATTCTCCTTGCCATGAACCACCAAACTTATGACGTTCAGATCTGCTGCTACATCTCCATTGTGGTCCAAGTAGAGTTTCCTCCAGGAAAGATTGCAAAACTCATTCTTCTCCAGAAAGGGATGGAACTAGAATTGAACATTCAACAATTTTAAGAGCAGAAACCTTGGTTTCTTATCTCAGGTGCTCTTTTCATGCTTCAATCTTTCTTCTATATTTCTCTAGCATGCAAATATGCTCAGTCGGGAGAACAAGATGCTCTGAAAAGTGAAAAATGTTTCCGAACAACTGATTGAGAAGTGAAAAATGAAGATTCAGAATTTATCAATGATACATGGTAAACTGTTGTGGCCCAGCAGGAGCCGGAGGAGCTGCCACCAGACTCCGACAGCAAGGGGCCCTATGAGTCGGTTCTGGAGGATGTGGGGGACCCTGGACAGGGTTCTGACTCC